TGTGGAACACATGTTGTGTATGTGGCATGAATGTCTTCGCACTTTCCTCTCTGGATTAAATTTCAATCACTTAACATGTTCCTACACAGGGATAATAAAATATCCAGATGACTGTAATGAATCATTCTCTGGCTTCCAGCTGTGTCAGGTGGTTGAATGGATAAAACAGCAAAGTTTTGAGAACCATCTTCATCCTTGTCTTCCGGGAATCAGTGCCCTGATGGTTCTCTAAACACTGTTTTCTCCATTCAACCACCCGACACGCCTGGTAGCCAGAGAATAATTCATTATACTTAGTCGCCGTGAAAGCTTCAGACCATACATCCAGATGACTCTTCGATATCTCAAAATATTATGCTTGTATAATAACGTTTCATTAAATTTGCCTCCCATATGGGTATAAGATAACTTTATATTTTACATTTAATCAAGTTAATATGCTTTAAAAATTATGTGCTTAAAAATACATGATTAAGCATGTTGTCACTTGCCTGCCAGGCATTTTATTTTAAGATTAATTACACAAAAAGCAGAAATCAGCTACCAATTACATGAAAAACAATATTAAACACTCAACATGGCACAGCTCATAAGCACATGCAAAACAATGCAGAAATTTGATACTCCAGCCAAAGAACAACTTCCTGGAAACTTTGAAACAGAACAATAAACAATATCAGCTAAAATAAATTATGCAACAACATACCTCTTTCACTTTAAGCCTTCTTTCACGGGCTACTGGATCAGGGTCTTCTCCACCATTTGTGTCTGGATAATGATCACTTGGTGCTGGAGGAATGGTGACAATCTTATTATAAGGTGGGACAGAAATTTCTTCTACCACAATTTCAACTTGTTTCAAAGAAGCACTGGTTCTTTGTGATGAACTCACACTCAATGCAGGATTTGGTTGATCTATTATATCCGGTCTTTCTAACACCTTTTGGTTTCTCATTTTATCAATTTCCATATCCTCTTCAATTTTGGCCAACAGTTTTGCCTTGTCTTCAATTTTATGAGGATCTGGATGTTCAATATCGTCATGTCTAATTAACTTACCCCCGCCGGGAATTTCACTAAATTCGTCACCGTGCGGTGGAGCAGGTATTAATAAGTCTGGTCCTGCCTTTTGCATATGTTTATATACATTATACACACTGTTCACCGTGTTCGAGCCACCCCGGAATTCTGGCAAGAAAAAGAATGCTCCGAAACACACCACACCAAAAGTCAAGAACACTAAAAGAATTAAATACTTCTCTCTTGGCCTAAACGACCGCCGAGAAAACGACGGTACCGGAACACCATTTACAAACCGCTGGTATGTAGGGATAATACCAGTAGATGCCATTTTTCACAAGTTTTGACAGAGTTCAAAAAACATACACAAACCTCCTGTCGCCATTCGAAAAACTGTGTCAAATTGTCAACATCAGACACACTGCCATCTTGGTTTGTGTGTAAAGTCCAGATCATAAATCAGAATGGGAGGAGCTCTACAAGGCAGTGAACAAGTAGCAGTAGCACAGTCAGTGCAACAGCAAAGAGGGAAATAAGCCACACACTATTGCACACCCTGACTGATCCTACAAATAGTTCTGTAATTGTTATAAGATGGCAGCAGGGCCTAAGTTATAAAGCAACTCCGGTGTCAAAATTCAAGCATACATAAATCTTTGTTTGGATAGGGATAGATGGCCTATAAATCGTTGTGGCCAGCGACAAAAAAGGATTAAAGACACCTCACACTTGCTTCACAGCATTTAAATTAAATGCAAATACGAGAAGGGTGTTTGATTAAAATGCAATTTGTCAAATATTCTTGCATCCTTTGCTATTATTTCTTTGAATACATTTTACAAATGTTTGAGAGATGTTTAAAAACATATGAAATAACCTGCACTGAAACAGACTTCTTGTGAATCACCTTGTTTAACCTCTCGGAAGGGATGTTTTATCCAAACCAACACCCTGGAATATCACAACCTACATATTTAAGTATATATTTCCAGTTGCTTTTGATATTTGTTTCTGACAAATTTTGAAAAGTATAGTTGAATAAAATAGAACTGAATAGTTTAAGTGTGTAAAAAATTTACAATGCAACCACGGTTCCGGAGAATCTGATGTAAATACGTATCAAGGGATTCCTATTTATTATTATTGTTCATCACGTTAAGCGTTAAGCGCCCGCCTCATCATCCACTGTGATATTCTAAAACGTTTTTAACAGCACAATATTATCTACTCTACGACCCACGTTTTCTACAAGCGATTCACAGCTCAGCTCTTTCCGCAATAACGAAAGCGGATTGTTGACGGCAGTAATGAAATACAACAATGCCGAATAAACAGATGACATAACAAATTAGTTTCTTAGGTAAAGCTTTGTTATGCACACAGGAGTTCATATAAAAGCTGACCATTGTGGGTCCATATTTACACATAGTTGATATGGATCTTACACATTTTCCTAATGCTGTTTTGCCAAATGACCCTTCCATATAGACGTATTTACGTCAAAAAGAAAACAGACTTGAACTTGCATGTTGTCTTCTAATAAGTGTTAATGTACTGTGCTAGTGACTTGTCTACCCCTATATATAGACAATGAAGCAGTGTTGACCATGTTATCAAAGTCATTAACATTAATTCAGTCTTCTTCTAATCAGGCAGACACGTTGGTGTCTTTGCTTAATATACATCTGGCATAGTAAGTAACAGAAGGTATAAAAAACTATACACTAACAAATACAAGGAGACAAGTAACTTAAATTATGATCCCAGCTGTATGCTTATATCACTTTTGGTTTAGGACGTGGAAATTTCAAGTGCTTCATTCTTCTTACACAAAATGTATACAATGAATACAACACAAAACATACATTATCATTATTCTTTTATTAAATAAATACATGTACATCAGTAAAAAAAGTTCAGCTGCTAAAAACAAATTATACTGATTATTTCAGTTATAATAAAGAGTTTTCAAAGAATTGGACGGATCTGTGTACAGAATACAAATAATATCACAGTGTACTTGGTGATTTCACTTTAATGCTTAAGATAAATTGTAAAAGTAATTGTATGCTTGCTTTAGGCTGCTGTTTATGCAGGCACTTTCTGAGCTATAGTGAATAACATACAACACAGCTTTGAGGGACTTAATTATGTTTTTGGATAAAATGTCAAATTCAGTGTTAAGATTTCTTTTTAGGACAGTGAAAATGTCAAAGTTATATAATAAATGGGATCAATGTTCAGGAGTAGAGACTTAAACTTAAACACCAAGTTAAGACTACTCAGATGTTATATTCTCTCTGTGCTTTTATATGGCGCTGAATCGTGGACGTTGACCGAAGCTTCTTCAAAAAAGTTGGAGGCCTTCGAAATGTAGTTGTACCGACATATTCTCAGAATTTCCTTGATTGACCGTGTAACCAACAAAAAAGTTCTCGAGAAACTCTGCAAAGACATTGAGGTTGTTAACACCATAAAAAAGAGAAAGTTGGAATATTTCGGTCATATCATGAGAAATAGTGATAGATACGGGCTGCTTCAGCTGATAATCCAGGGAAAAGTATTCGGAAAGAGGGGACCTGGCAGGCCAAATAATCTCCTGGCTTCAGAACCTAAAAACTTGGTTCCCAATGTTCACTGGAGGGCTGTTTCAAGTAGCAGCCAGTAAAGATCAAATTGCTATGCTGATTGCCAACATCCGTAACGGATAGGCACTTTAAGAAGAAGATATAATAAACTTCATACAGTTATACACAGAAACACCACATGGCAAATAAAATGCGCCTCTGCCTGTTTAAGATTTTAAACTAAAAAATTATGACTGACTAGAATGTTTAATTCATTAATTATAGTTTTTCTCACACTAGTCAACATGCTTGTTCTCAGAGAGTGGTACTTCTTTAAATTGATTCTTTAAATTCATGGTTTTACATCTCTTTTAAAGACAAAGTCTATTTACTGAGTTCCAAACACATATTAAAAAATATTACTCTAAAGAAATGTATTTAAATCATAACTAAAAAGTGCAGTCTCCTAAATTTAATTTACTTGCAGCATTGTATAAACTCTGCTTATTATTCTTCTTTATTGAAATCTAATTTATAAAAGTACTCAACTCTTAGATATGGTATTATGGACCACATCACTAAAGTATGTGAATCTTGAGGTTTTCTCAGCAGTGACGATGATCTGAGTTCTGATGCCATGTGGACAGGTTAGTAGATGCCAATGTTTCAGAGAAGCATACTGTCTGTATCTTCAGAGCTGAAGTGACAATGACATGGACAGCAAAGATGACTTCACCCTGAGTTGGGCATGGAAGCCTCCCTTTTGTGACTTGAAAGAATGAAGAGAGTCTCTCTGAAAGAATCAACCCCATCCTATGGTGGCCCTCTTCACTTCTAACACCTTCCCTCCATCTGCCCTTACTCCTCTGATGCCTTCTTGGAGTCTCCTCATTTGTCCAGCTTAATCTCTACCTCATTCCATCCTGATTGGCCACATTCCTTCAGACTTCCCTTCCTGCCATCCTATATAATCCCTCTGATTTCCAGTAATGTCACTTCTGCCCTGAAGATGGAAACAACACATTTCTCCAATATACTGGCATCAACCGATCTGTCCATACAGCACCAGAACCCAGATGAACATCACCACAATCATCATCATCACTAAACTAGTTTTCACTCAAAGCCAATTGTGTTTCCCAAATTTCATTCTTCAAAATCCAAATCGACAGTCTTCGATATATTTCCAAATTGTGAAAATTCACCTGATATACTTTTTTAAGTATCATATATGAATAATATAATTATCAATCCAAATAACTTCATTACGAGTTGCTCAGTGCTTGAGCAAATTTTCTTCCATAACCACTTCGAGAACAAGAAGTCACACAATGTGAGGATTTTTTTAAACCACATTCAGGGTTTTGTTTTCACTGCACATAAATTGTTCCCACCTTTAATGGCTTTTTTTTAAAAAAATACATTCCTGCACTTTTACTATTTTCTGCTCCTTGTTTAGCTTCAAAGTTTCAGTCATGGCTGACTCAGTTAGCAGATGCTGCTCCAGCTTCAGGTTTATCCAATCCCAGTAAAGAATCTGAAATAAACATGTGACAACATACATACAATGAGCAGAAACTGCACACAGAGGAGATGACCTCCATATGTAATAGAAGCTATGAACATACTAACAGGTTATGAAGGTCCAATGAAGGTTTGTCCTCTCACTTGGGAATTGGATGTGGTGCTAACGGCCCCTCGTCTTAAAAATTTAGTATTTACGAAATGTTACACAGGGTCTCAGAAAGTAGGTTATTGTGAATGCAATAATGAACCTTAAGATTCCACAAAGGTGGGGAATTTCTAGACAAAGTGAGTGACTAGTAGCATCTCAAGAACTGTATTCCAGGTAATAAAATGCTAATAAATTCATCATTTCTCATCACAGCTGGAACCCAAAGATAGTCAGTCATCAGGCCTGCAGTTCAGATGTAAGTTTCAGACATGCTTGCTGCCTCCATATCAGGGTGATGATCACCCTTATTATAGAAGCAGCAAACACAACTGAAATGTCAGTAAACTTCTATCTGAATACATGGCACAACATCCCAAAAGACAGTCATCTTCATCCTTGCTGCCATGATAACTTGAATTCTCACCAATCACCTGGATGCTGGAATATGCAAGGAACATAATGCCTGATATACTATATAAAGACAAAAAAATCATTAGAGAAGGTTTCCATACTGAGAATCTCACCTTGACTAGAACGCTTTGTTCGTGTTGACAATGGAGGCAAAATCCAAGATGGCTTGTCAACAGAGCTGGCAAGTCGTATTGGGGGTAACACATTCTTGGGACTAACAAATCCTGAATCACTTAAGTGCTGTGAACCCATCTGACTCCTTGTGCCAGTTGAACTTGTCTCATCTACCAATGACTGTTTCCCAAGTCTCTTTTCACCCCGTTGTGCTGAATTTGGTCTGCTAGTACCTCTGCTCTCACTTTCACCATATGACAGCTGTCTTGGTACACTTTTTCTTGCAGCATGTAACTGGTGACAAGTTGTATAACTATCTTCTACTGACATACTTCTCTTGTCAGTGGACCATTCCCTTATGGGTATTGCTGAAATTTCATCACACAGATCCTGTGAACCTTCATTACCTTGTGAAGCAAAGGAGTTATTGGATATCTGATTTATATTTATAACATTATCTGATTCAATTTTTGGTGGGGCACTTCGTTCATCAAAAGTACTGGACAAACTTCCTTTGCTATTCAAGGGTTGCACTTTTGCACCTGTCAGCTTCAGTTCACCAATATGTGTCCTTTTCCCATTTGTCTCATGAGATGACTTGCATTTCTCCAAAGGCGAATCAGAACTTTCCAGATGCTCTGAACTAGCACTACGAGATTGAATACAAAATAAATTTGATTTACCAGTAACAGATAGATTCTTTTTTATTCTAACTGGAGATTCCTCAGACACATTACTCTCTTCCACAAAAGCTTCTTTTCTGAGAAATAATGGTCCTCCTCCTTCCTGTTTTTTGTTCCTTGTTCCACTTAAGTCAGTCTCATCTAATGAATTGTGAAACTGTGAGCCAGCTGGACCCAGTGGAGCAGGAGCTGTGCGATTACTTCTGTGAAAGAACCAATTCTTCTTACGCTGGACTTCCTTTGATTCCAGTTGATCTGAAACTTTTTTCACAAAAATCATAATTAATATAGGTATACAAATGTATATGCATGAGTACATATACACATGCTCCTTAAACCCTCCTACATATATGTCACTAAAAAGAATAAAAATAATTAAACTTTTAATATTGCAAAATATGTATTTAATAAGGGGAAGAGACTGCTGGGGAGATGGGAGGATAATGTCAGGTGGGATCTATGGGAGATAGGAGTTGAAGGAGACTGGATTTTGTTGGCCCAGGACAGGGTCCGGTGGAGGGCTTTGGTTAATTTGGTGACGAACCTTCAGGTTCAGTAAGCCATCTAGTTAGTTAGTTAGTTAATGTATTTAATAAACATACTTTCTAAATTTTTAATGACTGAGAGAATGTATAACATTAGACTGATAGAAAGCAGTAAATTTCTTCAAAAATTAATATGTATTACCGATTCTGAAAGGTATAAAAGGTTCCCTTGTTGTATATGAAACATTCCTAGTATATTTAACACATCCAAGCCAAGCATATAATCACCGCAGTGCAAAACTACTGAAAATGAATCTCTTCCATGAACATATGCATCATACCTTTGATAAGCCCTGTGATACTATGAGATGGACTTGGAACCTGTCCAATAGCAGCAGCACTTCCAGACTGGTTGTCACCAGTATAACATCTGTTATCTGCACTTGCAACTAATGCCACTTCATCACCATCAATATCCAAAAATCTTTTCACATTACTAGTCAGTTTATTACCATCTCCATAATCTAGCGAATTTTGTTTTTCTTCATCATTAGGCTGTATCTTCTCTGGAGACTCTTTCACCAAAATTACTCGGCTACCCAGTACTGGTTCTGTTAATGGAGTTTTAGGTCCCTTGGTGTCTTCCTACAGCATGAAGGAAACAGTGTACATATCAGGGCCAACATTCAAACAAATGTTTAGGAATCTAAACCTTATAATCTTACAGAAGCAAACAAATACACATATTAAAAGAAAAATTAATTAACTGAAAGCTAAAAAAATGTTAACCAATTTCTTATATTGAATAAAATCTATATAACATCTGTTTACATGAATGTCTCGGAGGTTCCTTGATATCAGAATTTGATTTGCTAAATGAAAATCTAACTGCACTACTGATACTATACAGACTATTTTATAATGTACACTATAATAGTGCTATTCTTGTTTCAATTACTAAGTTACTGTCTTAATTCCATTTTCTTCTTCATAGAGCAAATAATATGTAATACAAAGATGGCTGTCTACCAGACTACATGGCACAACAACCCAGAAGACAAAAGTCTTCATATCTCAAATCATACAAGCTGTTAGTTACCTGTAGAGTTAAATCTGCTTTCAAATTAGGTCACCAACCTCCAACCATAAACCAAAATTCAGTTACATTTGTTTTATATTGGCTTGACATAATGTTCTGGAATTCCATTAAACCAGGAGAGTGTTTATGCTGTGACAGAAAACTCACCAGTATATCAGTAATTGGCTTGAAAGGGTTTGCCATAACAACATCATTATCACTATCATCATGTATTCCTCCATTGCAAGTTCCATTTGCTATAACTACATCTGCCATGGATTCACCTCTCTCCTCTCTTGCTTTACGTATTCTCTCAAGACGTTCCTTTTTCTCTTGTTCTATTTGTTTCCTTTGCACAGCCATATCACTTTCTACTCGGCTGTTCAGATCACTATATTCTCTAATGATGTAGTTCATCAACCACCTATATAAAGACACATATATAACACAATACTGTAATGACAACAATCAAAAGCATAATCTATATACTGTTGCATCTCTAAATGCAACACTAGCCAAACAATACAATGCAAGTAAGGTTTATGGGCCACAAGATTATTAAGTAGAGTTATCATAACTTTAATAGTAGATCCAACATTATTACAGATAACTGTACCACTTAATGGTCATGGACTGGATTCACCTCGCAAAGGATGGGGACCAATAGTGGGTTCTTTTGAACACAATAATGAATCTATAAGTTTCATAAAAGGCATAAAATGGAATTTCTTGATTATAATAGTCATTATAAGCTTCTCACGGACTCTGCTTCATGGAATTTGTCAACACCACTCAAGAACAGCCATGTCAGAAAATTCCAGTGCCTATGAAACAGTTACATTCCACAGTCAAAATGTAGGTCATGCTCACCCCTAACTTTCTCTTAAACAGCCAGCATCATGCATCACACTGAGAAAGTCAAAGTAATGTTCTTGCTGGTTAACTGCCTGGTCCAAAGTATGGGGTCTAATTAGTTCCAACAATAATACTTAACTTAATTGGTATAAAGTATCTGTCTCACAAATATAACAATATTCATTCACCAGTTTTAGCAGAAACAGCTATTTATATTAGAAGAAGTAGAACCTAACTTCACTGACAGCACAGGAGTGCTAAATCAGACAGCAATTAAATGTAAAGAAACCCCAAATTTCACTGGAAGTATGCATGACCACAGTTCCACCAAACTCTATGCAGACTGAAGAGGAGAAGCCAAAAACTAGTAGAACTCTATATCAAATTATATTACTAGTCAAGGGGAAAATTGTCATATATAAGGCTGCTGTAAAAAAGGAAGAAATAAAAAAAACACTGCACATTTAATTAGCATCTGCTATTAGACAGGAAGTGCTGGACATCACTAACAGCCTTGTGCATACAGATAACTCACCTAAACCCATTACGAATGGCTGGATCCAATTTGTTATGAGATTTTCTTACTGTTGTAGCTGAACACATCTCCACTATAGTGGGACAACGATGCTGATTGACCACAGCCTCCACATTCAGCAAGTCCACAATGTCCACTTCATCTAAGGCTCCCTCACAATCCTGTTTATTAGCTAAACTAGAAATACAATGTGCAAAATAAATACATGTATAACCATGATACACTCATTTATATACTTTTCTATTTGTTTTCTGTTTCTTAACTTGGCCTTGTAACTTTCAATTACTCTTGCTATCCCCCCCAAGTGCCTACATGGTGTGCAGCAGACAGTTTTACTTTTTTCCCCTTACCTTTTACAGCAATCTACTGACAGCATGAACACAAGCTATTAATTTCAGATTCCATATGTCTGGCAAATATGGGCCAATACCCATAGCCATTCAAAATATTCATCTTGTGTATCTTCATCAAAAGGATTGTTGTAATGCCAGTCTCAGTCTACAAGATTCTGATGCTTCCTTAGGCATGGAGGAATTCAGTGCAATAAAGCCACATTCAGCACCCCTTCTTCAAGATAAAATTATACAAACCACAATACTTTTATTTTATTAGATACACATAATACAAATATTTGAAAAACATTACACATAAAGAGCATCATGCAAGGGCATATCAACATATTTGCATAATTAGATTTATTTGGTCTAACAACACAAAATAGTGGGATGTATGGAATATCTGAAGGGTATAATGCTAATACTGCTCTACACAGAGATACAAACAGTTACATTTGGATGTATGAACACTAATAATGCACATCTATCAAGCAAAATAAGCATATGAATTTAGTTTCCTGTAAAACAAAAACTTCGTTGATATACCCTTCTTGCATGATCTCAATATGTCTGTGTGCATATCATATTACTTACAGCAACACTGGTTTTCCTTCCAATTTTTCATGTGACAAAAGGTTTGCAAATACCTGATGACTTTCCTCCAACCTAGACACATCACTTGCATCCACTACAAAAATTATACCATGGGCCTGCAAACAAATGTTGTCACATCAGAATTAATAATCATCAAGTATAAAAATATTAACTTCATTCAACACTTCAACACAAAGAGATTTACTCACATCTGCAAAATATCGATGCCAGATTCCTCTAATTTTTGGACCTCCTCCCAAATCATATATTACAACAGAACAGCCCTGATGAGTTAGAGAAACTCTGGAAAATCCAACAGTTGACATAACTGTTTCAAGTGACTCTGAAAAATGTGAACAAAAATAGAAATAAAGGATGAAAAACATGACTCTTATTACAAATTGGGTACTCATTTTTTCACTTACCACCTATAAGATTCTTTGCTGCTGTTGTCTTTCCTGCATTATCTAAACCAACCAGCAGCAACACAACGTTTCTGTAAAAGCAAAATTTTTTTATCAGCCTGAATATACAGTAACTTGTATAAACTGGTTGAAATGATAACACAGTTTTTGTAAGAAAAATAGAACCTTACTTGAGATGGCTTTTCGATGAAGCAATTTTAGGTAATCCAAATCGACTACAGCAATTACCCATTGTTATAAATTAATAATATATATTTTTATAGTTGCGTACATCGTCATTTCCATGTTTCCCAAACCACATACGAAACTCGTACAGACAACATCCATGCCCATGGTGTCAAGTACACAAATAATTCTGAAGCCTCCTAAAGATAATATCAACAGCGTGATACTTGGGTGCGTTTCATTCATAAGTCTTTCATATACCTAATTTGACACGGTGACAAAGACAATTATTATATCCCTATTATTACAAATGACTTCATTTTAAGATTCCTTTTATGGTTTAGCCCGTTTGTCCGTAAGTAATTTATAGATATTTGGTAACTGGTGAATCTAGTTTAGTGTCAAGTCACCGTAGGTTATCTATTAATTACAGTTTAATACTAACATCTATGACTTAGATCGTCTGTAAATGTGGCAATACCAATGAATAGTGCAATGAATTTTCACTGAATTTTTAAATTAGCGCTTTCATTATTTTGTATACAATATATGCTAGACAGTATACAGAATGAAAATCGCTAATGCAAAAAATTCATGAGCCGTAAAATTATGCAAATGCGTGAAGTTTCATTCGAATAAACTATTTTATCAGTAATTTGTACATGACTATTAAATGCAAAATATTGTCATATTTAAACAAGTTATTTTACTTACCAGGGAGTCTTCTGTAATTACACGATAATCAGATGAACGATATATTCCCTTGGATCTTTACTAAAACTTTATCTTATCAAGATGCCCTTGGTGCTGTACCATTCTTGGCAGAGCTTGATAATGAAACCTAGACATGATTGTGGATTTTCTTGTTTACAGCTGCTATACTACCAACAGTACTTGCTATAATACAGCCACATCACATGACAGCACCTCTGGTTAAGAAACCACATATTTGAAAATTAACAATTGTTATAATATGAAATTTTGACTCTTGGTATCAAAATAAGGAAATGTGTCTATGAAGTACTACACCTTCACAGCACATCAGTTTACACAGGAGTGTCAAATATGCAGTAGTTGACAGGGATATTAGGGCTCTCATCACTATGACAAATCCAGTAGTGAGGTCAAACCAGCTATATAATGGAAACTGTTACTTCCCTTCAGGATAAAGGTGGCCATAGTATGGAGCAAAACATCTACTTGCTGCCTGAAAACACAGCTTTTGCTTCTATTTGTGCTATCATGACAGGATGGAATCTTCCACATACAAATCCTACATTGGTCGTCAGCTTCAAGTTGCAACATGATCTATGAAAAAAATTATTTCCATAATGCAATGCAGAACTGTTCAGATCTTTGAACAAAATCAGAACTGTGAAGGTGACTGAAGGGTGCATGAGACTGTATTGCTGAGCTTCAACTGACCATTACAAATACATTTTGGTGGGAAGGCAGCTGATTTACAGAGTATAAAACCTCAAATCCTACTTCCCATCTTCTCTTACTGTGACATAGCTCAGACTCAGAAATATTTTTGATTTATAGTTAGCTCCAACTACTAGAAATCCTACCTTCAACAAACCACAATTTAGCAGGGGAGGATGATTTTAAACATCCTATACAATACAGACTTGTAACAAACAAATATGGTGAACAAAAGAAATTGGGAGGTTCATGCAAAGACTAGCAAGGAAATTGCTATTAAGTTCAACATAGAATTATCATATACTGCTAATTAACTGGTCTATAAATAATACACGTCTATATATTGATTTTACTTTAAAATTTCTATCTTCTTCTTTCATATTACTGCAAGAAGAGACCAAACATTAGTGATGGAAGCAAAAATAATAGCTCCATACTAGTATCCAGTGTTAGGCAAAGAACAAACATTAGACAACATTTTAAGAAAATTCATGAACAGCAGCATGTAAGGGGAATGGTCCAGTGAAAATCTTATGAAAAGAAAGAATGTATGTTTCTACACAACTGTGATGGTTATACCTGCATTATACAGTACTTTGTCTTATGGTGGCTCAACCATGAGTTCAAAACCAATTTGTGGTTTACATTACCACATCTGACTGTTGGTCCCTACAACAGAAAATCGCTCGCATAAAAACTCAGAGGCATTTCCTGGGATTAAGCAAAACCTGGAGTTGAACTGCCTCCACATGGCACATCACTGACCTGATTCACTGCTTGTGCATTGCTGAGCAAAAAGAGTGGAAAATGCATATCACTACAGCAATAAGCTATTACAGGAGTAATGAATAGCATCTTCAATTTATTTCAAGCAATATATTTATGGTTTGTATACACACTTTTCTTTCCTGATTTAGCAATAACATTTTTTACAGTCACATTAATTTTGGTACAGATTTTGTGGGAGTACAAACCATTAGCAACATCTTGAGAAATACTACTAAAATTTGTATTCCTTTTATACAGTAAGGTGACAACTTGACTAGTTTTGTTTTCAAAGGCAATTATTGAATTCTGTAATTTACACTCCCACAAGATTGTTCTTGTAATTTCAGAACTTATACAATACTTTGTTTCTTACCCAATAAAATCAGAATCAGATTTTTCATCCTATACAGTGTTTCTGGCCATTTGTAGACAGTATGTTTGAAGCAAAGAATATCTCATTGTTATTTTCATCTTGGGATGATGAATGCTTCCAAAACATTAATGATATCACAGATTAATTTATTAAAAATTACAAAACACAATAACTTCCCCAAAAAGTGTCATTTTTAACATATTTCATACAATATGTAATTAAGTAATATATTCACTTTGTCTTCAGTCATAAAAGTAAGTGAGAGACAGTCTTGGTTCAGATTATTGTAGTCTCAGTGTTGTGTCAAAGTTGAGAACATTAGCAAAATTCCTTTCACAACAGTTTCAGGATCCTTTAACACTGGATCTGAGAGGTCCATTGATATGTTGGGAACTAAAAAATCCAAAACATAATGAGCCTCAAATCAGTCAAATGCACGTAATAAATACAATGTTTCTGTACTAACCTTTACAATATGGATACCTTTTCATATTTAAATTATTCTATATACAAAGAGAAGAAGGCTTCAGAGCACCATGTGATATCAAAACAATGTACAAATAAAAAGAATCTCTAAATGTTAAATGGAGAATTGTTTTTGGTTTCATATTGCTACTGTATGTTTACTTCACTCAGTCACTGAAGTTTCTGTGACGAATCATTACTACACTCACTCTGAGTACCACCTCAAAGGTAAACAGATGCCTACCTTCTTT